TCAGAGCTGGCCTCGTCCCACTTCGGCGACTGAGATCAGGAATTTCTTGGGGTTAGCAGGTTATTATCGCCGATTTGTGGAGGGCTTCTCATCCATTACAGCACCTTTGACCAGATTGACCCAGAAGGGTGCTCTATATTGTTGGTCCCACGATTGTGAGATGAGCTTTTAGAAGCTCAAGACAGTTTTGACTACATCATCGGTTCTAGTGTTGCCTTCCGATTTGGGGATGTATAAAGTGTATTGTGATGCTTCATGAATTGACTTGGGTTATGTATTGATGCAGGAGGGGCGAGTCATTGCATATGATTCACATTAGCTGAAGATTCATGAGAAAAATTACCTTGTGCACGATTTAGAGTTAGCCGCGATTATTCAGGCTCTTAAGATTTGGAGGCATTATCTTTATGGGGTTTCCTATGTGGTTTACGCTGATTATCGTAGCTTGCAGCATTTGTTCAAGCAAAGGGATCTCAACTTGAGGTAGCGCAGATGGCTTGAGTTACCAAAGGATTATAACATCACCATTCTTTATCATCCGGGCAAGGCCAATGTAGTAGTGGATGCCTTGAGCAGAAAATCAGAGAGTATGGGTTGCTTGGCATTCATTTCAGCAGAGGAGAGGCCATTAGCTTTGGACATTCAGTCTTTGGCTAACAAACTTATGAGGTTGGACATTTCAGAGCCCATCCGAGTTCTTGCATAAGTCGTTGCCCAGTCTTCACTATTAGAGCAGATCAAGGCTCGACAGTTTGATGATCTGTATTTGATGGTTCCATAGAGACGGTACTACAGGGTGGTACCAAGGAGGTTCTATCGTCGAGGATGGTGTTCTACGACACCAGGGTTGTCTATGTGTTCCTAATGTCGATGTCTTGAGAGGGAGGATTCTACATGAGGCACACAGTTCTCGGTATTCCATTTATCCAGGTTCTACGAAGATGTATCGTGACCTGAGACAACATTTCTGGTGGTGGCGGATGAAGAAAGATATAGTTGAGTATCTAGCTAGGTGCCTAAATTTCCAGCAGGTTAAGTATGAGCACCAGAGTCCAGGTGGCCTATTCCAGCAGATGACTATACCTTGCGGAAGTTTGATTCAGTTTGGGTCATTGTTGACAGGTTGACCAATTCGGCACACTTCATTCCAGTTGTGACTACGTATACTTTAGAGAGGTTGGCCCAGATTTATATTCAGGAGATACTCCGGTTGAATGGTGTGTCTGTTTCCATCATATCAGATAGTGGCCATCAGTTCACTTTGCATTTCTGGAGAGCTGTAGAGAGTGAGTTGGGGACCCGTATAGAGCTCAGCACTGCATTTCATCCATAGACCGACGAGCAGTTGGAGCAGACAGTTTAGATCTTAGAGTACATTCTCAAAGCATGTGTGATTAACTTAGGAGGACAGTGGGATCGATCTTACCTCTGGCCGAGTTTGCTTACAACAATATTTATCAGCCGAGCATCGAGATGGCTCCATTTGAGGCTCTATATGGTCTGCGATGTTGTTCTCCCATTGGGTGGTTTGAGCTCGACGAGGCTAAGTTTTACGGTAGTGATTTGGTAAAGGATTCCTTGGAGAAGGTAAGGTTGATTCAGGAGCGGCTTCGCACAACACAGTCCAGACAGAAGAGTTACGCGGATCAAAAGGCACACGATTTATCGTTTATGGTAGGAGATAAGGTTCTCTTGAAAGTCTTGCCGATGAAGGGTATTATGAGATTCAGAAAGAAGGACAAGTTGAGCCCAAAGTTTATAGGACCATTTAAGGTGTTGAAACGAGTTGGGGAGGTTGCTTATGAGCTTGCTTTACCTCTCAGCCTATTGAGAGTTCATTCGGTGTTCCACGTGTCTATGCTCCAGAGGTATCACACCGATTTGTCACATGTTTTAGACTTCAGCATGATTTATTTAGATGAGAGCCTAGGTTATGAGGAGGAGCCAGTTGCTATTGTTGCTAGACAGGATCGCAAGTTGAGATCCAAGAGGATTTCCACGGTAAAGGTTCAGTGGAGGGGCCAACCAGTCGAGGAGGAGACCTAGGAGTCCGAGGAGGACATGCGGAACAGATATCCACACTTATTCAACACTCCGGGTATGATTCTAAACCCTTTCTAGGACGAACGTTTGTTTAAGAGGTAGAGAATGTAACTACCCCACCGGTTGTTTTGCTTTCTAGAACCTCATTCACCTAAATAAGACTTTTCGTATATGCTTTTACTGTTTTATGACTTGCGGGGATGGTTAGTTCGGGATTTGGAAAGGTTCGGGTTAAAATCGGAACACTTGATTCCTTAAAGTTGGCTTAAAAGGCTAAGTTTGGCTTCGATCAACATTTTGAGTAAACGACCTCGGAATTAAGATTTGACGGTTCCAATAGGTTCATATGTTTATTTCAGACTTGGACGTATGTTCTGATCGGGTTTTGGACGACCCAAGAGCGTTTTTGCACCTAATAGTGAAAGTTGCCATTTGAGTAAATTTCATAAGTTTGGGTTGAAGTAGATTTTTACATTCTAGACATGCGTTTGGGATTTCGAGCCTAGGAATAGCTTCTTATGGTGGTTCTGGACTTTGGAGCGCGTCCGGAAGTGGATTCGGAGGTCTGTAGGTCATCTCGAGGTCAATTGGGGAAAGTTAGAAATTTGAAGTTTTTGGAAAGTTTGATCTAGTGTGGACTTGTTGATATCGGGTTCGAATTCTACTTCCGAAAGTTGGAGTAGGTCTGTAATGTCATTTAAGACTTGCACGCAAAATTTGGCATCATTCCGAGTTGATTTGATAGGAATCGGACGAGCGGAAGTGTTTATAGAAGTTTTGAGTTCATGAGCTAAACCATGCATTTTGGCGACCAATTCATGGTTTTTGATGTTATTTCAGTGTTCCGATCGTGCGAGCAAGTTTGTATGATGTTGTTAGACTTGTGTGGGTGTTCGGTGTGGAGCCCCAAGGGCTCGGGTGAGTTTCGACGTTCGGAAGGATGAAAAACACATCAGTTTCTGGTGATTCTTGTCAGCAGTTGCAGGTCTCGCAAATGCAAACCTCGCATTTGCGAGAAGGGCTTCACAATTGCAAAGAAGACCGACCTAGGTAGTGTTTGCATTTAGGACACATTGGTCGCATTTGCGATCTCATCAGAGTTTGCATTTGTGACTCCTTGGTCGCATTTGCGATGGCAACCTAAGCCCAGGTTCGCATTTGTGATGGGTTTGTCGCATTTGCGAACCAGATGTCGCACATATGAGGCCTGTGCACAACTTATTAATTACAAGACTTAGACCATTTAGCTCATTTTCTTTCAACTCCTAGGCGATTTTTGGAGCTCTTGGAAGGGGGGTTTCACCTAGCACCTTGAGGTAAGTGATTTCCACACAACATAAGTTAAATACATAGATTATGAGTAGATTAACATGTAAAAATTGGTGAAAATTAAGAGTTTAGATGAAACTCTAGGTTTTTGATAAAAATGAGTTTTGACCACGAAATTAGTTATGGAATTTAGTAAAAATCATATATTTGAGTTCATGGGGTTATGAGTAACAACTTTCTTCAAAAAATTTCCGAATCCGGGCACGTTGGCCTGGGGGTAAATTTTAGGAATCCTACATTTAAAGTTGGATAATCACTTTAATAGTTGGGATATGAACTTTTGAGCATAAATTGATTATTTTATATAATATTTGACTAGTTTTGGGTCGTTTGGCACCAAATTTGGGGGTTTGAGCACAACTTTGGACCGGAAAGTAGGTCTTGAGATGAGGTAAGTCTCTTTTCTAACCTTTTAAGAGGGAATTAACCCCATAGGTGAATTAAATAAATATGTGTGTCTAATTTGTGGGGGCTACGTATATACGAGGTGGCGAGAGTCCGTACGTAGCTACTAATTGTGTTATTGTCCTAGTAGTCTAGGACCCATATCATGCTATTGTTTGTAATGTTTGCTCCTACTTGATAACTTAATTATTTGAGTCATATGGAAGTTGATAAAAGAATTGTAGAAGGTTAAATTTCAAATACTTGAATTTATAAATGAGGAATTTTGACTGTTGTTGAAAATTTGTGTTTCTTCATAGCGTTTTCCATTTATGGAGTAGGTCGAATGCCTCAATAGCGGATAGATGCATCTATGGTTCGTGCCAGTCGATCCTCGGCAGTGTAGAGTTTAAATATTATGTTGGATTGGGTCGTTCGACCTCAGCATAATTTGCGCATGATAAATCTTTGGAACTATTCATGGTTGATATTGCTTAAATGCCTTGAGATACAAACTGTTAAATGATGAAAATAAACTTGGGACTTAATATTTATGAAATGAGCATTTAATATTTACTATTATTGAGTTTCAGTATTATTCATGTAACCAATGCTTAGTATATCATTTCGATATATCATTGTTAGCCCATAGTAAGTGTCAAAGTTGATTCCTCGTCACTACTTCTTCGAGGTTAGACTGGATAATTACTGGGTATATGTTGTTTATGTACTCACGCTACACTTCTGCACTTAAAATGTGCAGGATCTGAGGCACATACATGTGGTTATCAGTCTGGTGCACACACTTGACTTCTGGTACAAGACTATACAGTGAGCTGCCCTTCCGAGCCGTTTTGCAGCAGCCGAAGTCTTTCTTTTGTTATATTTTCTGTCTATTTCATTTTAGACAGTAGACTAGTATTCTTTTATATATTTTACTAGAGTGCTCATACACATGTGACACCGGGTCTTGGCACACGCTAGTAGATTTATGATTTTGGGTTGTATTTCTACGGTTATGATTGCATTTAGCTGCTTTCATTTTGATTACTTTAAATCTATTATTCATTAAATATTTTAAATTAAGGAAATTTATTTACTTGAAAAACTAATAAAAATGGGAAATCACTAGTTTGTTGACTGTTGGCTTGCCTAGCAACAGTGTTGGGTGCCATCACGACCTAAACGGGCATTGGGTCGTGATAATTGTGGTTGGTCCAATTGAAACTTATTTTGTTGAAGGCTTCTCCTAAGTCTCATCTTTGGGGGTACGTTTTCATTTTGATTTTTTCTCCTTAGACTGGGGACTCAGGGAAGATGGGCCTTTATCGGAAGCAAAAGCAGCATCACGAGCCCTCTTCCGATTAAGGATTCTTACATCCGTTGATGGGCCACCATTGGGTCATGGGAAACCTCAAGAACAGGAAAATAAAAGACCCAGTTGTAAGACCTGTGTATTACGAAGGAGGGAGTTAGTAAAGAGCCATCAAATTCATGTTGAAGATTAGAAAGGGAAAAAGGAACTTTTCCTTATCATGATTCTTGGCCTTCCAATTAAATTTTGGAGAAATTTCTTTCCCCTTATGGGAATCCGGTGTAGAGGCATCTAGAATATTTTGTACCCATTGAGTCAGGTTCTTAGCCGATGATGGAACCCAACGGGTAGCTTAAATAAGAGAAATAAAAGTTAGTAAAGGAGGGAATTTTCTTTAATGCAATAGAAAAAACCTATCTACAAAACTTACGAGCAAAGTTCCAAGATTCTGGGATAGAAGGTGTTGTTGCTAGAAGGATGTCCCTAGTAGTAATGACAATGAACCGTTCCATCCAACCACAATCATTATCATCATCAACACTAGTAAATAAGGTTTGGTGGATGGGTGAGGGTTGATAAAATTCTTTGGGGAGTAGAGGTTGATAAAATTCTTTGGGGAGTAGAGGTTGATAAAATGGGCAAGAGTGAGGCTTTCTCCGTCTTGGGAGCACAATACCCCGAGGCAAGCCACCATACGTCAAATTGATGGGCTTGTGACAAAATTCTAAGATATTGAGATTAATTTTTTGGCACATTCTTAAAGTGGAAGGATACGTGTAGATATACATGAACCCCCGTTTGTTAAAGGTAACCCCTTCCACTTTATTGGGGCTAAGATTTTAATGTTTTCCAATCGAAATCTGCTTTCATAATCGGAATACTAGTAGGGCGAATATAAGAAGGATATCTACTATCAGGATAATTTCTATTTCTTGGGGTTGATAGGTTCTTTTGCACTTGGAGATCCGTTTCAGAATTTAATTGGGATGGGATAATTGTGTTGGTAGTAGGAGGACCGGCATCGGCTTCCTTGATTTTATTCTTTTTAGAAGGGCCACCACTGATGTGAAGGCCAGAGTTTTTGGGGACAGAAAAAGTGAAAGATATGGTGATAGAGAATTTGGTTAAGAAAATTTTACTAAGAAAGAGAGATTTACAGAAAAACTCTAAGGGTGATTCAAAGAAGAAAAGTTTGTAAAAGTGAAAAATAAAAAGGATGAGTAGTGGAAAAGTTTATAGGAAGTAGAATTCATGGTCATCGTTACCTTAAAAACTGACAAAAATATTTACCAAATCATAGTATAACACGTGTTCGACTCATTAAATACGAGGAGACATACGTCCTTTCAAGTGTCAAAAACTATTCAAAACCTTTTCCATCAAGAAAAAAATCCTTATCTACTTTCTGGTAACACGAAGTGTTATTACCGAAAAGTAGGCTGACTATCTGTATGGGGTAAAATTGATGAACGACATGTGGATGCCTGACAAGTTGACACATGAAAGTAAAGACAAGTAAGGTGTGAGTCAATACCTCATGTTCCGAGCCCAATCTACCATATCATATACGAGCTCGATTTCTAACGTACACAGATAGTCCCCTTGTTTTTTGGAGAGTAGACGATAAGAAACGACATGAGCTCCCGATTCTCACCTCGATATCCTGTGACAGAAACGACAAAATAAAAAAAATGACGCGTTAGTCAAGTCTTAATGGTATTCAATGATTGTCAGTTACCAGTCGGCTACTAGATGCGAACCTTCATTTGAAAACTATAAGTACGCCCTTCTTTGTTCATTCAAACTTTACATGCATAATCTCTATTGTTGTTCCTTAGAAATTTATCTACTTTATAGCACTTATACTTTGATTTCTTGAAATCCTTTATGAGAACTTTTGCTCGTCTTCACCCCCAAATCATCAAGTGTGATGCTCTAACTTCCTCTTCTTCTTTCCCCTCCATTTAAGAAAAATGGCGAAGACTTCAAAAACCATTCCCCAAAAAGAAACTCCTTCTGCATCGCTTTCGGTTGTCGAGGAGACCGTTCCATGTTCTATTGTCGAGGAACCCATTTTGAACACGTTCATCCCTGGTGGGTGCTCGGTAATTGCCAATTTTAAGGTTGACAAACCTTCCTCCTTTCAAGCGCGTGGTGGTTCCCAGGCCCGATGAAGATATCACCACCCACGGCGAGGGATAGTTAAGTGTTTACACTTGTCACACCTCCTTTTTACCCTATATCTCGGAAGGGAGTATATAAGGGAGTTTTTTCCAATTTAAAGTGACAATCGAAACGGGATTATTTATTTATCAGATTCAGAGTCGCCACTTGGGATAATTTATGGTGTCCTAAGTCACCGGTTTAGAATCCCGAATATAGGAAATGATTGACTCTGTTTTATAGTCTGCGAGCACAGAAATCTGGGTAAGGAATTCTGTTAACCTGGGAGAAGGTGTTAGGCATTCCCGAGTTCCGTGGTTCTAGCACGGTCGCTCAACTGTTATTTTTGGCTCAATTATTTGATTTTAAAAAACACTTTTAGACCTATGTGCATTTTAGCTTTAAACCACTTTTAATTGTTTTAAGGAAGATTTCAATGTCATCTAAACCACGTCCTTGGACCACGCCACATGAAATGTACCCGCAGTCCGAGACACATTTTATTTAACATTGCTAAGATTTAGATTTGGGTCACATGAAATGCACACCCGAGTTTAGGAAAGTAATTTTAAATTACGCGCCTAAAGCAGCTACGCATTTTCAACTTTGCGAGGGCCATGGACTTAGAGGTTTTATTTGGCATGGCATAACATTTATTTTACCCAACCATTCATTTAATCAAATTGGTCCAAACTAAAATACAATAATACTTTTTAAGCTTAATCTAATCTTCTGGTTTTCTAAGACAATCAAATGGCCAAACAAGCTTAAATACTAACTAAATAACTCATTAATTAGTAAAAGTACCTCAAATTTAAAAATAATCATCACAACCAACTTGTCAAATTCATGCCAACTTTCCGACATCTTCACATCCAAACAGAATAACAAAACTAACAAAACACAAAATAATAAATGTTAATAAATGGCTAAACCATACCTAGAACTATTCAAATGAACAAGAGCAAAAGAATTAAAATAGGGGTGGTTTTGGGACTGTTTTTCAGCAGTTTTGAGGTGATTTTTGGCTGGTTTTTTAGCTCAGTTTTCATGATTACTTTGCTACGTTTTTTCAGCTGAGTTTTGGACTGTTTCACGGGGAAAAGAGCTGGGTTTTCGAGCTGTTTCGGGGTCGTTTTTGTGGTTGATTTCAGTTGTTTTTCTTTAGCTTTGCTGGCTGCGTTCTTTGATGGGACAGAGGTATTTTCATGGCAGTTTGAGTAGTTGTTTTGGTGGAGGAAATAGATCTCTTTGTTGCTAGTTTCAATGGAGTTTCCAAGTGAGTTTAAGGCTGATTTTCATGGCCTTTTGGGAGGCTGACTTTGTGGTGTTTTCAAGTGGAAAAGGGATAACATTTTGGACTAGTTTGCTCACAGATAGAGGATGGTTGTTGGCTCTTGTCATGGCTAGATTTTTGGGGTAAGATAACAAAGACAATGACAAAAATGACAGCTTTTGATTTTAAGAACCTAATCAGTAGAAAATCAAATATCTTAGACAATCAAATTCAAACATCAGGCACGAAGCCGATCCTTGGAATCCAACTCAATATGCCAAATTATTACTCTACTTGCTTTAGATGTAATCGTTCTCTAATCAAATTTATATAGCTGAGTTTATATACACTGATTTCACGTTTTTATTACCCGTCGTCATGACCCTTCATCAAAATTAAACTTCTTCTTACTCAAACTAATAAACATAGATTCATCATTCAATATGCTTATCCAAAGTAAGGCAACAGATTCAACCAAACAACAGAAAAAATTGGAGCCAAAACAAATCAATATTTCATTCATTCGACCTAGAAACAATCAAAGAAACTGGAAGTGTACATACCTAGTATTTAAAACAAACTTGTGAGGCCAAATAAGGCTAAGAAGGAGACAGAGTGGAGCTCAGCTGCTACATGAATACAACAACAGCAGATTTTCGAACTCAGCAATTTTTAGAAACCCAGGAAGCGTTTGGTTCTCAAAACTCGCTAGCCATCGAGTTGATTTCAGATTTTCCCCTTGAAATTTCACTTTCCCCTTTTTCTTTTGTTTCTTTTTAGAACTTTGTTTTCCACTCAAACACATGCACAACTTCAATTTAAGTCCAAATTCAGCTCAAGCAACTATGAATTATTGAAAAAAACAACAGAATTCAGACTAGCTTTTCAAATCTTTTTCTTTTGGTTTTCGATTATGTTTTTCGAGAGTTTTCGCCAAATTTGGAATCTCAAATTCCAGTTGCTGCTAAGGCTTTTTGCATGTATATGTTAGTGAAATCAGAGAGGAAGGAGAGGGAGAAAGGATTATGTGAGGGACCTGAGAGCAAATTGGGATGGATTTTTCATTTCAAAAGAGAGCAGATATGGAGCGTCGTTGCTCTGTATTTTCCAAGGGTCTTAGGGGTCTAATGATCTAATGGATTTTTTTGATCTCCCCCTCTTTAATGTGAGGGATTTAGGGTATAAAGAGGGTAAAATGGTTAATGGGACAATGGTCTGGGCCTTTAAAATGGACTAGGGATTTAAATAAAATGGGTTGTTCCAAGCTGGCCCAGTCTGATTTTGAGCTACAAAATGGCCCTTGTGCATTTCTTTCTTTGTTTTCTTTTTCTTTTCTTTGATTTTAAAATCCAATTAATTAAAATCCTAAAAATTAAAAATCCTAAATTATCCATACGTGTGAAATTAAAATAATTAGCTAATTATAAAAATTATAAACAACACTTAATCCTAAGAGAAAAAATCAATAAAAGTGTAAAAAATGAAGCATGTTTTTGTGATTTTTAAATTTTTTTTATAAAACAAGTAACTACCGATTAATACTAAAAATGTACAAAATAAAACCTAAATGCCTTGCATGATATTTTTGGTTTTGTTCATGATTTAAATAAAATAAATGTGCACAGACAAATGCAAGCAATTAACAAAAAATGCTACAAAAATCTGCGAAATTGCAAATAATGGGAAAGATTTATTTTGTTTGAATTTATGGGAGTAATTCACTTAGGGCAAAAATCACGTGCTCACAACACTTATCCCTTTACGCTGCGCCCGTTGGACCCGGTCATCATCGACTTCTGTAAAAGGTACGAGGTGTGCCTTGGTCTAATTCACCCTTCATTCTGGAGGATCGTCATCCTTCTCTGGTTGTTTATGAGCAAGATGGATGGATGATTTTTCACCGTTGACCACCTCATGTGCCTATATAATCATTGACTCTTTCGGGGG